GGGGGTGAGCTATGCTTCCGCCTGTTTGTAAATCTAAGTGACCCTAAAATGATTCTAAGTAGGAGAAAGACGTTTAGTCCAGTGCCTGACTTGCTGGGCCGGTCCAGTGGGGCCTGCATGCCTGGGAAGCTGAGGTGGGGGTCGAGGACCACCTGGTCAGCCAGACCCTGGCCCAGGTGGCCTCGGGCAGATCTTGGCAGGTGTTCGGACCTCTGTGATCAGATCATCACTCCCCCACCCACCACCCAGCCCCTGCGTTGGGAGGCAGCCAGCAGGAGCCTGAGAGGATCATGGAGTAAAAGCGGGAAGTCACGTCTCCCCCTTGAAGGCAAGGCGGCCAGGCTAGTGATAGGCAGTCAGACACCGCTGCTTCTAGTCACCAACAGCAGCACCGGCTAAGGGCGCCGCTCTCCGCGGTCCTGCCTGCCTGCACCCCAGCCACCTGAAGGAGCTTGCCACCTCGAGGAGTCCCCACCCCAGGGCTTCGACCCCTACTTTTTCCCATACTGGCTGTCACTCTGCTTCGCCCAAATTATTAAAACTTGGGTCTGCTCCAAATTGTGCTGTTGGCCACACAGAACCCCTCTGAAGGAGCCCAGCGCCCTGGTGCCTCACGCAGCACAACCCCCTGGGACGGAGAGCAGAGGGGCAGCCCCAGGCCAAGTCCACACTGAGTGGGCTGACCGACAAAGGCTCAGGCTGCACAGAAACTTCACACAGGTCCACTTTGGGGAGCCCGGGGAAAGAACTGGGGCTGCTGAACAGGGACCCTCTCAGGGCCCCGGCAAAGGGAGAGGGCAGTCCTGAAGGCCCTGAGAAGATACCCCTGTCCCTCAGCACACAACCTCCGCCCCCCTCACCTCAGGCCAAGCACAGGTGGAGGAAGGCAAGGGCAGCAGACTGCTGCCATGGGGTCAGGCCGGACACCCGCCAGAAGGCACCAGGCACCTGACAAGCCCTGGTCCGAATCCCCGGCTGTGGGGACAGGCCACCGTAAAGTCACCAGCTGGGTGCGGGCGCGCACCAGACGCCTGCTCACCAATACATGATGTGGGAGAACCTCTCAGGGGGAGGGCCGCCTCAGACCCAGCGCCACGTTGGCTTATAGGGGAAAGAGCCAGGACAATGGGGGCGCAACCATAGGGCAGGGAGCACGGCCCCCCAACAAGTTTGTGGGAAATGTCCATGGTCTTTCGATTCCATTCTCCCGTGACCTTTAGAAAGCCCCCACGTACTGATGGAAAAGGGGAGACGGGGCCCGGGGCTGTCCGTGAGGGATGTGAGAAAGATGGTAGAAGTCTGCGCTGGCCCCGAGACTCTCAGACCTGAACAAGTCAGCAGGAGCCCCCGATAGAGAGGGGACATGCAGACAGACAAACAAAAACAAGAAGGCATCACACCCGGAGCTGCAAGGACACCGCTGGTCATCGGACTCCGCAGGGGGACAGTGGGATCCGGTGAGCACCCCTCCTGATGGATGTCAAGGACATGTCCACACAAAACCCACACTTGCTGCCGTCCAGTGGGTCAGACTGGCAGCGACCCTATGGGGCCAGGGCGGAAGGGCCCCTGGGGTACTCCGGGGCTCCATCACAACCCACTGCCACCAAGCAGGCTACCACGAGCAGTGACCCTTTACACAGGGGGACCTGCCTGTTTCCCCGACTGCACCTTTCTACTGAGGAGAAACCTCCATCTTTTCCCCAGACTGCCTGGCAGTTTCCAAGTGCTGCCCTTGCAGTGAGGGGCCCGACCCCAAACCCAGTGCACCATGGCCAGGGCTTTCTGCAGCCAGCACGTGTATACGGGCACAGTGCAGGCACGGCTACGGGCGCTCAGGAAGCCGCAGTGATGTGGAGCAAGAGCAAGGCGGAGCCGGGCTGCTGCTGTCCACAGAAAGCCTTTACCTGGTGTTTCAGGGCACTTGGCTGTGACAAAGATGTGTGTTA